CCCACGCTTGTTCAACGCACCATCAAGACGAGGCTGCTCGTAGTTGCAGTCACACCCATCCGTCAACCAACAACAAGCCTGATCGTTGTTCGTCGACAGCTTCACTGTGCTTTTCGTTGTGATGAACAACATGAACCAACAGTTCAACAACCTCGACGAACTACAACGTCAACTGCAAGAACGTGAACGAGAAGTCCACGCGCTCAAGGCCCAGCTTCACCTGGCATCCCAGAACCACACCCAGTCTTCGTTTGCCAGCCAGCAGTCGCACTATCCTGTTGAGCACAGTGATTTCCCCGTAGACTTTGTCAACGTCCCGAGAAACGTGCCCGCGCAACAATATGCCGTTCGCTCCGTGGGAAAAGTCCAGCGCAGCAAGTCCACCATGGGACATGCGCCGTCGTCCATGTCGTCAGGCCGTCCGATGGTATGTCACCCCGTACCCCTCTCGGCTCCTGAGAGTCGCCCATACTCACTCACCCGTTCCAGGACCAAAGCGGCGAACGTCAGCACCCCTTGAAGCGCCCCAGAGTCATGTCTCAACAGTACACACCATCGCCTTCCATGACCACCAGCATGTCACGTAGCGGTTCCAGCCAGTCGTCGCGAAATATGCCATTCATCGCAGCTGGGCCCATCGCTCCTCTCCAAAGCTCCACTACAGCCCACACGCCGCACAGCGGCTTCAGCCAGGCCCGAGACGGCTCCTCCAGCAACTACGGCTTTGCCACGTCCCTCCAGCGCTCAAACACAACGCAGCGCCGCTCATTTCTGCAAAGCGTCGAGGAGCACAGCTCTCTAGATGGTGTTGGCATTCACCCGTTGGCCTACCTGGAAGCACACGAGACCACCGACGCTGTAGCATCTTCAAATCCAAGACCCCCGCCTGCTCAAAACTACGCTCTATCACACAGCAATCGCGACTCGAGCTCTAGCCTCATGATGTCGGCTTGTCCATCCATGACGTCGGGGCCATCTGCCGCAGAATCGGCAGCGTTGACCCGGGACAACAGCTCCTTCGACAATTCTCTTGTTGGCGCATTTGATATGGCCAGGCTCGACTCGACGCACTCCCAACAGACGGACTTGTCTCTGGACCAGGACTTCTACGTCTCGTTCCAGGATGACACTTGCGACAAGAGCGGCGACCCCATGTCCTACCTGGGCGAAGGTTTCCTTGACCCCTCGTCCCAAGATTATTCCACCTCTGCCCATAGTGAGCAGTTTCTGTCTCAAGAGTCTATCGGCATGGAGCGATCCAACAGCTCCACCTCCACACAGTCCAGCGTGGAGCGCCGTGCACGCGAAGCACGCCGACGCCACAACCAGAATGCCACGAGGCTGCTCGCAGCAAAGCCCCAAGCTGTCGTCAAGAGTTCTCCGGCACAGGCCTCCAAAAAGGACGGCAAGGTGGCCATGACAAAGAGCGGCCCGTACACCAGGCCCAAGCACCCCAAGGTCAAGTGCACCATGTGCGACGATAACCCGCAGGGCTTCCGAGGCGAGCACGAACTGAAGCGGCATGTTGAAGCGAAGCATGCCGGCGTTGTCAAGAAGTTCATTTGCCGAGATCCTGCCCTTGCTGGCATCTCCACCGCTGTTCAAGCCCTTCACCCCCTCAGCCAGTGCAAGCAATGCAATGCCAAGAAGCAATACGGTGCTTATTATAACGCAGCGGCACACTTGCGTCGGACACACTTCAAGCCCAAGGTTGCCCGGGGCAAGAAGGCGCGCGGTGACGACGAGGAGAAGCGTGGTGGCAGTGGCGGCGGTGACTGGCCACCAATGACCGAGCTGAAGGCCTGGTTCGAAGAAGTGTATGTGCACAGCAGCGAAACCAACGATGCGGACGAGGACGAGGACGACAACGACGCAGCCAACACGGCCATGACGGCGATGGATATGACGTACCCAATCATCGGCAATAAGCTGCCCCAGGAGCCGGACTTTTCCGGGTACAGTATGGGTCCCGAGCTGTCACTCGACACGATGTCTCCTGACCAAGCCGCACTCATTTCTCCGGCCACCTTTGAGTTTTCTCCTTTTACTACTTTGTCGCCGGTGGACATGATACCATCCGATGCTACCTTCTCGGCCATGAACGCTTTAACGTCAGCGAATTGCGGAAATCAAATGTCGCAAGGATTCATGGTTGACGAATACGCGTCCTTTGCATTCGACGGAGCAGTCTGATGCCCTTGTCGACAACTCGGGTATTGGGTGCTGGAAGCAGCCATGTGCGCGTTGTATGACTCGATACACTGTCGATACCATACGCTGATATGAAAGACAACAATGAGAAGAACCTGAACCAAAAGAAACCCAAACCCCCCCCCCCCCCCCCAAAAAAAAAAAAAAAAAAAAAAAACAGAACGAGCATACGAATAACGGCCACTGCGACAACGTGCGGGTTCCCGAAATTACCCTGCCGCCGACCAATCTACTTCTTGGTCATTTCTATTGAAACGGCCTTATTTCTGGGAACCATTTTCTTACGTCTGTTTGCTTTCCTTTACATACGGTACGGATACGTTCGGGCCCAGTGGGATGTGGTAACAGCATTCCATGCTCTTCAGGAGCCCATGCCTCGACTGGTGTCAGTCAGGCTACCCTTGATCCATTTGTACATAGACGGTCTGGACCACAACGTCTACAGACCTCCGATGAGGACAGGATCGGCCCCCAGAGCCCTAGCAGGGCAGACAAGTGCGGGCAAAAGGAGGCCTGCGCACGGCCTGGTATGAATTCTAGCGAGGCGTTGGGTATCATTTGTTTTTGTAGCGGGACAGGGAGTGTGTAACTTGGTATGGGAACCGGGCAAATGGGTGTTGACTTGGGATGCTCCAGCTCTGGAGAGGAGCACTGGATAGGGTGTTGTGACGGTGTACCAATGAAGCCGCAAGGCTGCAATGAAGCTTGGCCAAGCTCGATGAAGATGGAAATTTATCTGCATTGATGCGTCTCTCACTTATGCCTTGTTAGTCGCGTGCAAAATATCTGTGATGCCTTGATGTTGAGCCTGACCCCTATTCTGGCTTGATGCTGGATGTACGTTTGGCGCACAGCCAAGTGGGGTTCCTTCACAGGGATCTCGACCTCATGCGACCTCGCCTCATCAAAACGGCTTCGACCTCGCCTCATCAAAACAGCTTCGACCACGCATCGCACAAGACACGCATCACACAAGACACGCATTGGCACCACAACAGCATGATGGCGATCCCACAGCGAGACCCAGACACACCACCGCCCACGCCCAGGCCCACGCCCGCGCACATCCCACACATCCACGCCGTCCCCCCGCGCCCTCGCCTCCACGCCGCCACCAGCACAACCACCACCAGCTTCGCCCTGCCCCCGCCAACCTACAGCTCCCTCGCCGAGCTCTCCCTCGCAGCCTCCATCCTCCTACCGCGCAGCCTTCCCCCCTCCGTCACCGTCCCCGTCCTCCCGCCCGCCCTGCGCCGCCTCAGCCGCCGCCCCTCCGCCCGCCTCGTCTGGGCCGCCCTCTTCGCCGACGGCCCCGCCCGCGCCGCGGCGCGCCTCGTCCTCGCCATCCTGACAAACCACGTGCGCCGCATGCTGGCCCCCTCGCTCGGCGCCTGGGTGTGCGCGACGCCGCTGGCCGCTCTCAAACTGGCCGTCGGCAGCCCGCACCTGTTCCTCGACGCGCAGCTGGTGCTCGCGTCGGCGCCGGCTGCGTGGGGGGCCGTGGCGCAGAAGGGCGCCGTCGATGTCCTCGGCGGCGCCGCGGCGCGGATGATGGTGGAGGCCGACGCGAAGAGCGCATCCGGGACCGCGCGGGAGGTTGCCGTGGTTGGCGTTTTGGTTTGGGCGCTTGCGGCGGCCGAGTATGTCCAGGCGAGGACGTGCCATGCCGTTGCTGTCGTGCTTGCTGTTGGGAAGCTCGTCGGCGGGCCGGCGGGGGTGCATCGTGCCGTGTTGGGGGAGGTTGTGGCGAGGCGGTGGGTTGGCGTGCCTCTGTGCGTGTGGTGGGTGGTGTACTACCTCGGGTTCGCGGTTGGGCCGATGGTCTGGGGTGCGTGTGCGAGCGCGGCGAGGGGACGGCCGGGTATGTTGGGGTTGCTGTGGGCTACGGCGTACGTGACGTACGTGGTCACGAGGTGGTCGAATAAGTACTATATCGTGTTGGAACTCTGGGGGTTTGTGCTGGTGGTCGGATGGGTGGTCATCGCCTTGCTTATCCTCGCTGGGAGGGCCGCCTCCGACATTCTGGACAAACTTCACAACGACAAAGGACAAACAGTGTCACCGGAGACATCACGAGTCGCGGATCAACCACGAACAGCAGCAAGGATCACACAGCGGGCCAAATCGACGAGGACGCATAGCTAACTCGGCCTCCGGTCACCTCAACGCCCCATCTCGCGCGCCCTTTTACGCACCTGCACGGCTACCTGTCCTTGGCCCCTTCGAGCGCCCCCGGTTTCCTCGCGCTAATGGCCACATAATGACAGTGCTCCCCCGCCGCATACCCCAGAACACCAGCGAGCGTGTTGGCGAAATACCTCTCGAGCCTCAACACCCTGACGATCAAGTATGGCACCAATGGACGAGCAGGTTAGAACATGTGCAGCATCGTCCACATTCTTCGCTATAGTTCCCGCTCGACGATATCCTCAAAAGCCGGGCCTCCTCGAGCAGCCCCCTGAAATAGCCCGGCCGCGCCGCCTGATACGTAGGCATGGCCCGCCAGCTCGTTGACCCTGCGCATATCGGCGGCCATCCAGCCGCCGGCTGTAGCAGCAGCGTCGAGGTCATGGTCGTACTCGAAGAGGACGATGCGGCCGCCGGGCCGCAGCGCCGCGCGGAAGCCCGCGAGCACGGCGGCCGGGTCGGTGGCGTGGACGAGCGTCTCCATGGTGTAGACGCCGTCGAGCGAGGCGTCGGCGATGGCGGGCTTGAGGTGGTGGTAGTCCATCTTGCGGACGGTGACGGTGCCGGGGGCGAGGGCCGCCGCGCGCACGTTGCGCCGCGCCTTGGCGACGTGGTGGTCGACTATGTCGATGGCCTGGACGCGCAGGCCGCCGCGCAGCGCCATGTGCAGCGCGACGTGGCCGACGCCGCAGCCGGCGTCGAGGACGGTGGCGCCGCGAGGCAGCGCGAGGGCCTCGAGCAGCTTGTCCTCCATGCGGCGGAGGGGCGGGCCGAGGGGGAAGGGGAAGTACGTGTCGTGGTCCCAGTAGGCGAAGTGGCGTGTGCCGCCGAGGAGCAGACGGTAGCCGATGCGTGATTCGAAGGATTGGTAGTAGCTCTGGATGGCAGGATTGTCGTTGATGATTGGCTCCGGGGAGCTTTCTTTCGGAGGGGATCTCAGGGATGACCTCGTCGTTGTTGAGGCTGGTGATACTGAGGAGGGCGCCATGGTGGTGGTGGTCTGCCAGCCGCCGGAAGCGTCGGCAAGAGACTCAGCTCAGCGAAGTCGACTAGGAAGCTCAAGCGGCAGTGCAGTTGGGAGGACCCTTTGATGCTTCCAGAGCTTCAATCGACGCCCAACGATGGCGCAACCACGAGATTGCAAGCTACAAGACAAAAGCAAAGGTTAGGAACACGCGTCGTGAGCTTCAAGATGCCGTAAGCTCTTGGCTGTGGTGGGGCAGCCGTGTCTCATCGAAGCGCCTCCATCGAAGCTGCCTCCAGCTCCAGCTCCCCTCACCACGTGACGTCACCAGCCTCTCTCTGTCTCTGTGTCACCAGCCTCCGAGTACCTTAGCATAGGACCCATGGCTGAGCACCAATATCCAGTCCAGCATCACCCGTGGATGGCAACGCACAACGCTTCCCTGTACACGCATCATCCCGGTGAAGGTCTTGGTCTAAATCTATCTATCTACCCTTTTCCTGTACACAATACTACTTTTGACCAGTCCTTCCTAGCCACCCGAACGCCAGCCTTTCTAGTAAATCCCGAATCCGTGCCTCGCAGATATCGTGTCCTCAGTGATTGTCCCGCGGGATGGGCTGTGTCTGAGCGATTCGTTGAAACTTGATCGACTCTTTCATCACCATGCCCTCGCTCAGACCACCGACCTCACGCCGGAAGATGTCCTGCCAGGGCGTCTGGCTTGGTGGACCGTGATAACCGCCTTTTGCTTCGTGCGCCGCGCGCCGCGCCTTCAACTCGTCGTCCGAGATGAGCATATCAACTCGACGCTTGTTGAGGTCGACACGCAGCCTGTCACCATCCTGAAGGAGCGCCAGATTGCCGCCATCAGCCGCCTCGGGTGTCGCGTTTAGGATCGACGGCGAGCCCGAGGTACCGGACTGTCGTCCGTCGCCGATGCATGGCAGGTCCTGGATGCCCTGCTTGAGCAGCCTCGGTGGCGCATGCATGTTGACAACCTCGGCCGCGCCAGGGTATCCTTTGGGTCCGACGTAGCGCATAACGAGGATAGTTCGTTTGTCAATATCGGCAATGTCGATGCGCTTCTCGTAGTCCTCGGGTCCGTCAAAGACAGCCACCTTGCTCTCGAATGCGTTGGGGTCGTTGGGGTCCTCGAGGAACTCCTTGCGGAACCCGGCCGAGATGACTGATGTCTTCATAATGGCAGAGTCGAAGAGATTACCAGTGAGGTGCAGAAACCCGGCGTTCTTCTTCATCGGTGCGTCAAACGCCTTGATCGTCGCCCTGTCCCACGAGGGGCCGTGTGCCGCAACATTGTCGCCAATGGTCCGGCCGTTGCATGTCAGCGCTCCAGGGTGTGGCAGCTTGCCAGCACCCACGAGCTCGGCCAGCACGGCTGGCAGGCCACCGGCTCGGTAGTACTCCTCGCACAGCATCTCGCCTGCCGGCTGAACATTCACGAGAAGCGGGAGCTCGTAGCCGATGCGGTCCCAGTCGTCGAGGTGCAGCGGTACGCCCATGTGCTTGGCAACGGCGTTGAGGTGGATGGGCGCGTTGGTGCTGCCGCCAATGGCCGTATTGGCGGCAATGGCATTCTCAAAGGCCTCGCGCGTCATAATGTCGGACGGGCGTCGGTCGGCCTCAACCATCTCGACAATCTGCAAGCCTGTACGGTAGGCTGCCTGCGACCGATCGCGATACACGGCGGGGATGGTGGCGCTGCCCGGTAGTGCCATGCCGAGGGCCTCGGCGAGAGCGTTCATGGTCGACGCCGTGCCCATGGTGTTGCAGTGGCCTGGTGACGGTGAGCCAGCGCACACCATGTCGAGGTAGCCGTCTGCATCGAGCTTGCCGGCGCCGTAGAGGTCACGCGCTTTCCACATGATGGTGCCTGTGCCGATCTTTTCGGCTTGGAGGTTGCCATTGAGCCTGGGAATGGGTCAGGCACGCCGTGGTTTACATAGGCAGGGCAGGGGGGCTCACATTGGTCCTACGTTGAGGCAGATGGCGGGGAGATTGACAGTCGCAGCAGCCATAAGCATTGCCTATTACTGTCGTTAGTTCAGCCCGAGTGATGGATGCATCTTGGGTGACGGATTGGCCATCCTCCATCACTTACAGGTGTGGTCTTGTCACAGCCCGTCGTCAAACTAGCAACAGTCAGCCGCCAGGAGTCCCCGCGCGTCGTCTTGTTAGGTCAGGGCAGAACTCACACTACACCGTCGAGTGGATAGCCGTGCAGAATTTCGACGAGACCCAGGTACAGCAGGTTGCGGTCGAGGGTGGCCGTCGGCCGGCGCAGCGTCTCCTGGATGGGGTGCGTGGGGAATTCGAGCGGGATGCCGCCAGCGCTGATGATACCGTCCCTGACTCGCTTGGCGAGCTGCAAGTGATGGCGGTTGCAGGGCGAGAGGTCGGAGCCGGACTGGGCGATGCCGATGATGGGCTTTCCGCTCTTGAGCTCCTCCGTCGTCAGTCCGTAGTTGAGCTGCCTGTCCATGTAGGCCTGCAGACGGTCAGTGTCACAATGGCCAAGGATAACGTGTGGCAGATGATGGCAGCCACGGCCGGGTGAGGGAAAAGAAGGGGGGGTGGGTAAGTACTAAGCTGATTCCGCGGTCATCGGTGCGGTTGAACCACTGAGACGAGCGGAAGGGCTTCTTGCCACGGCGCTGGGCTGGCGTCTTGGACGAGATGAGGGCCTCGAGCTCTTTTGACCGAAGGCGCAGGTTTTCGAGCTCAGCCGTGTAATCTTCAATATCAGCGAGGGGCTTGTCATCGCACTGCTGCGTGCAGCCGTTGCACGGTGTCTCGCAGGCCATGACGACGAGGATGGGGTGGGTGAACGGTTGAAGTATTTTCCTTCTTGTTCTTGCTTCCTTTTGGTTTCCGCGAGATCTGTTGACGAGAAGAGCTTGGGAGCTCGGTGAAGAAGGGGTGGGAGGTCCCAAATGGTGGTGGTTGAGTTGAAGTGTATTTTGAAGGCAAAAGGCAGGTAGGTTGGGTCATTCACCTTCCTCTTCCTTCCTTGGGCTAAGGTACTAGGTACGGCGGGTGGTGAGTCGAGGGCGCCTTCCCGGGTTGAGCCGCGCGCCGAACTCGGGACGTGGCCGGGCAGGCGGGCGTCGACCACCAGAAAACGAGACACCGCTCCTTCTCTTTTGCGGTGCTGCTGGGTTCCTTCTCCTGCTCCTTCTCCTCCTTCTCCTCCACTCACTTTTTTCCCCTGTGCCGCCTTCCCCCTTCTTTTCTGCCCCCTTCCATGTCACAAAAGTCGCGTCATAGCCCATGGGGCCCCATTGAAACGGCCGTAGGAGGGACGAGGCCCCATATGGCCTATCGTGGCCTAGCACCAAGGTAAGGTGGTAGGTAAGTGGTACTTGTACCTCGGAGTCGAGGCCTCAAAGGTACGCCCTGGGGCCTGCGATGCTGAGCGCGATACTTGGCAATTCCTGTGCCCAAGTGCCCTTGACCTCCTCGAGGCAAGGCACATTCACCTCTGGCACTGGCACAGACTCAAGACTCAGGGTCGGCACTACAGACAGTCGTACCGCCTACACGTGTACGAGTCTGAGTGAATGAAGAGAGTCCAGTGGACCGGGGGAGCCACAATCTCCACATTCACGATGGATCCTGAATATGAACGGACGGCCGAGCTTTGCCTGTAGCTTGTGTAGGTACTTGGGTGGTACCAAGCCAAGGGGCCGGTCTGGCGTCATGTCCGCCGAGCGAATACCAGAACCCTGCTGCCGGGGAGCCACAGCGCCCTGCAGGTCGCGATAGTGGCGTTCCACAGGCCTTCGTCTTTCGTCCCTACTTCTTTCGTCCCTATTTCTTTCGTCCCCGTTCCTCCTTCACTCCATCGCAATGAGGTACCAACGGAACGTCGCCTCCCATGGTTTCCCAAGCCGGGCACGCGCGCACGCCATCTTCTGCCAAACTCTGGCGTCGTTGGGTTCTTTACCTCCTTTGCGAGTACATGTACTGGTCCTCTGACTCATGGCGTGCCCAGGCAAGGCGGGGAGCGATAGGGAGTAAGAGGACCTCCCTCTGCACCAAGAGGAGGGGTGGAAGACACAGCCCATTTCCAGAAGACGGTGAACAAACACACATCCTGGGCATTTTGGGGAATCAAGAGGCCATTTTTCTTTTCTTCTCCTTTGCAGCCCATCCCGCCCCCCCGGTCTGCCATGCTATGCACCATGGGCCCCTCTGCCCTTCTCTAACCCCTGCCGAAGAGCCCACTGCCGAATCGCCAATGGGGCGCCTTCCGACGGTCCTAATCCGTGTAATCAATGGCGGCATGGTGTGGCCCTGATGGCCTGCCATGCGATGCGCACCTCTGATGCAACCCTTTCGCCACGTCCTGTACCCTGGATTGGTTGGTTCCAGTTGGCCTCATGGCACATTACAATCTTTTTTTTTTGTGGTCGGTCTGCCTTTCCATGTCGTCTTGCCCGCCTTCAGCTGATTGACCGGGGATCGACACGACCACCAACGTCTTGATTCTGCGGTTGATCTTCTCATTGAACCTTGACTCCTGCGATAGTCCGCCACTTGTGGGATAAAAATTGCTCTTCTTTCTCTCTCTCTCTCACTCACACACTCAGCTGATGGCTCGAAATGATATGTCAGGTAGCATCAGCCTTACCCAGAGTGCCCAATACGTCTGATTGATTAAAACCACATGCCCGCACGAGGCATCCTCTCGCCGATCCGGCCGCGGACCTGGGCCCTGGCGGCTGTCAATGTTGGTGGCGTATCTGCTTTGGGGGGGTGGGAAGGGGGTTGCACACAACCTGCGGACGTGTTGATACCGAAAAGTCGGAAAGGTTCTAGCCACCCGGACCCCGAGAGAGAGCCCTCGGACCGCCCCTTGTCTTGTTGATTGGTTGGGACGACGAGATGCATGCATGACTGGGAACGTCGTCTTCCGAATGATGCAATATCGCCTAGTCATTGACGCATTATGTGATTTCTGGGGGGCGGTCTCATGTTTGCGATGGCATTTGGGGAAGACTACAGCGAGGTGATAGTGTATCAATGCTGCATACTAAAAGCCTGGTGCTAATGACAACAGCTAGCACGAGGCGTCCTTGAGATATCGACAAGACTGGCAGGGAGTTATCGAATCGACTGCATCTCGGGTTACACTGGCCTTTGATTGATTGGCCATGCTGTTAGCTATCAAGCATCGTTCACGCCGGGACCACGTCGAGCTTGAGAAAATGTTCATACAGAATGTTGAGTGGAGGTCAATGTTGGGGTTGCGAAGTTCTACTTACCAGTTGTATTACAACAAACATGCGTGACCAAGCCGAAATTCCTAATATCAAGTCTTCCCCTGACAACTCCATCTCTTATAGCTCGAGACCAAAGAACATGCAGTTTGGTGTGCACGATCTCTTTGCTGTTTCGTTAGAGGATATAAAGCCTTTTTTTCTGTTGAATTGTGAAGTCATATGTCTCAATCTTGCGAAGCAAAAGAGGCCTTGTCACAAATATATCACCAACTTCAATTGCCCCGGGAGCTGATTTGTTGTTCTCTATTGTCTTCCACGAGAAGACGTCTGCTTTTCTACACGTACCATGCCTCCCTGTTTAGGTGGGTGGGTAGTTGACGAGGACAAGTTTTGTCCACCTATTTAAACGTTGTACTTTAGGACAATACATCCCCTTTGCCACTGGAATTTCTGTTCGTCACAACTAGGGATTTCGAAAAGAAAACCACCGGCTGGTTTCTCTCACCCAAAGTGCGGTTGCTGCAAGTCAACAGGGACCCGGACTTGGTGCATCGCGCATGCACGGTTTATCATTCAGTGCACTGACAATGTCAATGAGGTACTCTCTATAGTTTTCTCTCTGTCGGAATGATGACTCGGACAGTCCTCACTGCGAGCCGGCGTCCGCGTCGCTTCTGAGCTGCCGTAGGCCTCGATATCGCCAATTCGAGATGTGTGTTTCAAAAGCCTGCTCTCCATGTTTACCATTCGACGTGGCGTACACGCCGAGCACGACGCCTTGATGCGTTAGCAGAGCAGCGCAAGAGACCAGGTAAGTGTCCGTGACAGGCATTGCAGAACGTACCAGAGTAGTAGGGTACCAGATCCCTCCCCCGACAGTGTCCCAATACACGCAGCTCGCTTTCCCCGCCAGCACCGACGACGCCCCCTGAAAAGGCAAAGTGCGTACTGTTCACGGCTTCGATCTGCAGCCTCGCTTTGCTGCCGACCCACTCGTGCGGGATGGGAAACACCTCGGTCGGCACATGAGTGTGTCCTCGATACGGCGTCTCCGAGTGGCCCCGAAAACGCAGGTGCGGCCGCAGGCCACGGCTCCCGTTCGACGTGAGCATGACGATGCCGAGATCAAAGTGCTGCGCCTGGTCCTGCATGGCCGAAACGCCGACCTCCATCTCCTCCCTCGTCAAGGAACCCGTCCAGTCGACGTCAACGCTAAACCTGAACAGCGAATGCGCCATCCTTCGACCGACGAAAGTCTGGCCGCGCCCGAGCGCAAAGTCGGCATCAAAGCCCGTCAGGTTCAGGACCGAGGACCTCAGGGCGAGGGCGTTCCAGTGGCCCGCAGGCGAAACGGCGTAGTGTCTCGTCTTGGGGAGCCGCCAGTGGACAAAGTGAACGGGCAGGCTGCTCCCCGGCGGGAACGTCACGTCGTCGTCGGCGTCGCTCAGCTGGCCCTCGCCCCGCGCCGGGACGCTCTCCGGCGGCAGGGGCCAGCCCGAGACGGTGCCCGTCACGGGCGTGAAGACGGGGAACGCCCCGTCCTGCCACGTCACGGGCGTCAGCACGGTTTCGCGCCCCATGGGCAGGTTCCGAAATACGGCCCCGGCGCCGCGCCGTAGGAGCCGCCTGCGCGCACCGCCAGCGCGGCTGCCCACCACTGCCCCTCGGCATCCTGGAAGAGATCCGCGTGGCCCACGGCCTGGAAGTAGGAGCTTGTGTCGTTGGCGGCGGTGAGGAGGGGGTTCCCCGGGGCCGGGTCGTACGGTCCCTCGAGTTGCCGGGAGCGGGCCATTGTGACCATGTGGTTCTCGCGCGTGCCCCCCTCGGCGAGGAGGAGGTAGTACCACCCGTCGCGCTTCCAGATGTGGGGGGCCTCGGGCGAGGCGCCGCCGGTGCCGTTCCAGGGCATGATGATGGAGCCAATTTCGCCCGTCTCAAAGTCAAGCGGCGCATGCATGATGCCGGGGTAGTACGCTGCCGTGTGGGCGCCGGACACGTACGTCTTGCCGTCGTCATCCCAGAAGGGGGATGGATCGAAGCCGGGGAAGCTGAAGTGAACGGGATCGGACCAGGCGTCCGAGGAGTAAGGGTCTGTGGTGGTCACAAGGAAATTGTCCCAGCGGGAGTCGTTGACGCGGGGGAGCTGCTGGTTCACCAGGGTCGTCATGAGGTAGAAGATGCCCTCGTGAAAACGCAACGTCGGTGCATAGATGCCGCTCGTGGCCTTGGGCAGGAAAGCCATGCCCGGTAGTTGGTCTGGGCGACTGAAGCCATTGGACACATGCTTCCAGTGAACGAGATCATGGCTGGCGTGGATGGGGAGACCTGGGAAGACGAGGAAGCTTGACGTGGCGCAGAAAAATGTGTTATTGAACTCGGGCACAAAGACGCAGCTGGGATCGGGGTTGAAGCCGCTAATGATGGGGTTCTGAAACGTTGAGTTCGAGGTAGACGAGTCCTGGGCCGCGATGCCGGTGAGGCAGGCCAGGATAGGGGCCGCATGCACTGTAATCTTCATCTTGGCCATGGGCAGCATCTGCTCGATTTCCATATGCTTGTGGTGTACACGACATATATCAGTAAACTCTTCTGTATTTTACTTACATCAAACTCCGCTCGACTGCCCCAATCGCACGTCAAACTGACTTCCAGTCGGATCCGGGGCCTCTCCACACGGGACCGGTAGACGAGCAATGATCGTCACTTTTCCGGCCCTTGCGCACCCCATGCCTTTCCCCAGAGGTATAATGATTTAGCCTGAACAGCAACGACCGATCTATTCCTGCCTTCTGATCTGGCGCCATGCGGGGAAGGAGAGGTTTAGGGCTGATGCGGCGGAAATCCATCACAGGTTTGCCCGCAACAGTTGGCGCGTCAGTGGTGTTGGCCAAGTTGCTGGTCTGCTTTTCCGATGGTGCATATCTACGTCATCTCGACCTATCAGTCGATGCCCCCTCTTACGGTGCTCCTAAAATCTTATGGACTATTCTGTTACGGCGTATCAGGCTCTGTGAAACCTCGATGCAAAGAGAACGACGTCTAGTGAATTCTTGTCTTGATCTTGTACAACACGAAAAAGTTTAGAAGAACTTCCAAATCGAATCAGGTCCCTTGGTGCTCTTGAATGCGCTGTACCTCATACAAGCAAAATATAGCACAAACAGCACAGCCGCCCAGTTGGCGAAGAATACCCATACATTGTCGATTCCCTTCCCGGGCCCCTCCCCCATCGGGCTCTTGAAGTCCGTCTCTTACCCGAAGAGCGCCACGAGGATGCCTCCAAAGGCGAAGAGCAGGAACATGTGCGTCACGTAAAAGAACAGGGCCGACGTGCCAAAGACGAGCAGGACCTTGAAGTAGCGCTTTGCGAAAGACGCGGGGACTGCCGTGAAGAGGGCGAGGAGGAGGAACGTGCCGGCGAGGGTGAAGGCAAAAAAGGCGACGTCGGGCGGATACTTGACAACATAGAAGAAGGAGGCTACGGAGGCCAGGTACGGGTTCGTTTGCGGGTGCGCAAGCTGGTCGCTCGTCTGGAGGCAGTTCTCGGACAGGTTGCCGAAGCGCAGGACGCGCGTCAGGACGAAAAGGACGGAGAAGGCCAGGGCGGCGGCGAGGTTGGCGCAGGCGACGGTCGTGGCGGACCAGGAGCGGCGTAGGATCAGACGGCCGTATAGGACGCCGAGGATGGCAAAGGAGATCCAGGCGAGGGGCGGGAAGCCGGAGACGATACCGGGGAACTGCATGGTCATGACTTGGTAGAACCAGAAGCGGAGGAAGACGCTGCCCTTGGGCTCGCGGGGGCCTTCGGGAAGGCAGTAGCCGTGAGTTGGGGACATCCACATGTTCCACCAGATAGTGACAGCCGTCAGAACCAGAAGGATCATGTTGTGAAACGTCCACGAAATGCTCTCGGCGCGGGATGAGGGCTTCTCAGAGAAGCCCACGTCGCGGTTGTTGACGAGAAGAGGTGCCTCGGCCTCGTCGTCGGGAATCCACCGGGATAGGAGCGTTGCGAGAGCCACTTCGGTATACGAGAGTCCAACCCACAGCACGCCCACCAAAAAATAATCCACGGCCAGCGCGATCAGAATGATGTTGAAAACCCACACGGCGCCCCTCGAGATGATGCCCCCCATGGCCATTGACACGAGCGTCAAAACGACGGCCCTGACAAGGAAATGCCGAACCATTCGGCTGGCAGACCATCCGAGCTTCGTCCTCGACCGGCCAAAGTACACGATGCCCATGCCCAGCAAGAAAGTGAACCCAGGCGCGCAGAAATGGGCGAGGGTGCGCATGGCGTAGGCGATGCGATAATTCCACTCATGCACGACGGCACCATCCTCCTCGGTCACGCGGCCGGTGCCGTGCTGCCAGGCGCCGAGGGCCATGGTGTTGTGGTCGATGGCCATGAAGGCCATGAGGAGGCCTCGCACGAGATCGGGCGCAATGGCACGCGCCGAGGCTGTCGCGGCTGGCAGCTTGAAGCTGAGGCTGCGCTGTACGGAGCCGTACGAGCGCCTTTCAATGTCAGTGAGGGCGCGGCGCGCGGGGCTTTCATATGACGAGGTTGTGATCTCGCTCGCGTCGTCATTATCGCTAATGTCTTCAAAGGCTGTTTCCTGGGGGTGATCATCGGGGCGAAACGGCGCTGAAGAGGCTGTCGAGGCCATCTTGACGACCTGGAGGCTTACGGCAAGAGCCAGAATGCCTAAAATGGCTCGAAAATAGCACAAGTTGATGAGTGACAGACGAGGAAGAAGAAGAGAAGAAACCGCTTGGGGAGGATTGAATTCCGAATACGCCAAGCACAACATCTCGCCTCAGCCTAGAAACGAGTTTGGAGCAAGCGGAGCCTTCAAGTGGCGCTACTGGCCAATTGATCCGATTCGGTTCATGTTGCAATCGTTGCTGTGCATTTGTCAGAGAGTGGGTGAATGATGACGCAGCTCTGTTTTTGCCTTGTTCGTCTTTTGTGGTTAGTCTGGCTGACGGATCTTCTGACGCTGAATCAGAATGAGAATGCTCTAGATGGTGGAGAACCAAGATGAATGTTCATGGAGCGATGGCGAGATGAACGTCGTTTACCGTTTGAAAACCTCTGTTGCAATTGAGCCTAGTCGCTCCTCAGGCAAAGTCGTTTTCCTGGCGCTTCTGGCTTGCCTCAAAGTCGAAGCCAAGCTCGGCTAATGTCTTAATCTCATGCCGTCGCTCGCCCTGTAGTCTTGAGGCCACCTTGATCAGCGGCACCCTCTCCCTTGTCCACCTCTTCTCTGGGCCCCAATAGGGCGGCAGCTTTCCCTTGCCGTCGTTCTCCAGCCCTTCGACCGTCGCCGCCGACAACGACTGCTCGTGCAGCTTGTTCAGGTAGTCCACATCCTTGGGAAACAGCATGGTGTGAATCGCCTTGCCCCCACCACCCGCCTCCGCCAGCGCCTGGGCCTCCCACGCTCTCATCTCCTCAGTGGGCGGCACAGCCAGGCGTCCCGCCCACAACCTCGCAACCCACGCCGTCTGCGCCTCGGCGATGGGGAACGGCACGATGCGCTGCGGGATGCCGACGAACGCCAGTGTCGGATCGTCAATGTAGAGCATGTGCTCATACAGGTTCCGCGCATACGACCCGTCGGTGATGACCGGCGGCGACAGCGCCCGCAGGAAGGGGAAGCTGTAGAAGTAGCCCGTGCAGAAGACGACCGAGTCGATGTCGCTCTCGACCTCGCCGTTGGCGAAGCGGACGCTGCGTGTCTCGGGCACGAACTCGGTAATCTCGGGCACGAGCTTGAGGATGGCGCCCTCGGCCTCGTCCTCGGCCGTCTTGAGCTCCGTCTTGACGGACACGAGCACGGGGTGCTGGCAGACGGTCGCAATCTGGGCGCTGAGGTCGATGCCAGAGGCTGAGTTGCCGACAATGACGACTTTCTGGGGGGGCATCAGTACTTGTTCCTCAAAACAAATCAACAGGAACAGCGAAGGGAAGCACACACCTTGCCCTCAAACTGTAGCTGGTTTCGGTAAAACTTGGAGTGGGAAATGGCGCCTGGATGGGCGGCGTTGTACTCTGCCAACCCCTTGATCTCGGGGATAAAGGGATCGTTATAGTGGCCGCTCGCGACCATGACGGCGTCGAACTCGGAGCGCTTCATCTCCTCCGTCTTGAGGTCGAGCGTCTCGACCTCCCAGACAGAGCCACCGTCCTTGTCCGTCTTGGAGACGCCGAGTATCTGGGTCGACAGAGACAGGTGCGGCGTCAAGCCTTTGCCATACTCTTCGAGATAGCGTTTGACGACGGCATGCTCGGGAAAGAGGGACGAGCCTTGGGCGAATTCCAGGTCGGTGTAATTCATGAGAGAATGGGGGATATTTGTCTCGAGAAAGTCGTAGACCGGCGAGACGAATTGAGGGCTCGCACTGTCATCCGTTCTGATGGCCGTATCTGGCCGTTTCGAAGGGGACGTCCGAGGAACCGTGAAATCATTATCAATGACAGACAGAGGACTGTATGCCCACGTGCCGCCAATTGTATCCCTCTGATCGAATATGCGGACCTCGGAGAACTTCTTCTCAGCGAGGAGGTACTTTGCAGCTGCCAGGCCGCTGGCGCCCGCTCCAATGACGGCGACGCGGCTCACATGCAGACGACTTTCGAGCCCATGGGGTGACATTGGTGGTGTGAAGGGAGGAAGTCGCTCGAGCCACTATCCAACTCGAGAAAGGAGCTCTTCTTGGGACTGATGTATTGTCCCAGATGATGCGGGATTTACGTAGCACAAGCCTCATATGTCGTCATTGAAGAAATCGTCAAGAGAGTGAAATGCAGAGCAAATAAAAAGAAAAACATGAATGGTCGTAAGATGATGAGCTAGATGATGGTTCCAATGGCGAGAGACTCTCAGATGATCAAGGTGCCAGACGAATCGTGAAGCTCATCCATCCCTTGGGGGGGGGGGACATCGGGTGGTATGCGGACTGTGTGGTGATCATAGCGGACTGTGAGCTTAGGGGCTCTTCAGGGGCCCTTGTACAGTGCGCAGCCCTCTTTGTCCCTAGCACGCCATACCCAGCGCCGAAGTCGGGCTCCAGCCGACGAGCAACCAGGCAGGCAAGACACGCCATGCTGGGCAGGTGCTCCCCAGATCGGCCCCTCCCGACAGCCAAGCATGCACAACCACAGAACCATTTTGCTTCTCCCCCATCATCAAACCATTCAACGAGTCACCACGATCCTCGATACCGGCTGGAACCCCCCTCCCCTCCCCCTTGTTTCCATCTGATTGCATCCCCGTCGGACATTGCCCGCTGGCTCAATTGTCTGGCCGTGTCTTTCTTCCATCATGGCATCCGCGGCGGATATGCGAACAAATGTCCACCGCTTTCGCATTCGACGCTCGTCCATCTCCGACCCTCACGCCGATCCCTCGTCCACGTCGTCTTCGGCACCGCTCCGACGACGGTCTGCCTCGCCCCCCACCGGCAACGGCACGAGCATCGTCAACTCAGTGGCATCCTCCAATGAAGGGCCCTTGTCTGCCGAGAGACCCGGCCCCTCAGACGGCCTTCCCTCCGCCAAGGCCGCCCGTGAGATACCCGCTTGTGACCGCTGTCGCCATTTCAAGAAGAAGTGCAGTCGTACTTTTCCCATCTGCACCCTGTGTGCCAATGCCGGGTCCAAGTGCAGCCTCTCGACGCCTGTTGACTCAACAGCGGCGCAGACACATCATCTGCGCGCCAGGGTGGAATGGCTCTCCAGCTTCATCAACAAGCACGTCCCCGTCGGCCCTACCGGCATAGCCTCTATCGACACAGGCACTGATCTGTCGTCCTTTGTTGACCACAGTCGACGGTCGAATGCGGCGAGTGACACCAGTCAGGGGGCTCTCCCGACAACTCCTTCACTTGCGGCGCCACTGCAGCGTCATGCTCCCAGTCGACCTTTTGACCCTCTAGAAGGCGTCCGTCATGTCAGTTCTCACGCGACACCCCCGGGGGGAAACGATCCGCTCAGCCAGACGCCCTCCATCTTCTCGAGCCCCGGCAGACCGGGTCTCGCCGCCGCATCCACCATCGGCACTCCGGGTCTACCGCCTGACGCCGCCGCCCGCAGGTTTGTCGATGCCTACTTCCGCAACGTCAACCGCGCCTACCCCTTCGCCAACCGCGACAAGGTCCTGCGCGATCTGGAGGCCTTGGGCGAAACGGCCATGGGCCAGCGCGACGCCGACTCGACCGTGCTGTATCTCATCATGGCCATTGGTTGCACCTCCCTCGAGCGTGCCGGCCAAGTGCCCAAGGACACGGCCAGCAAGTTTGAGGTTCCCTATGCCGAGATTATCCAGGAGTGTCTGGCCAAGGAGGACACCGAGTCTATCCAGGTCCTGGTACTCCTCTCACTGTATTCGCTGTTTGATCCCCATGGGGCTTCCGCCTGGTCGATGGCCGGCATCGCCTCGAGGCACGCCATGCTCCTGGGACTCAGTCGGCGCGCCTCCGAAGACAAGTCTCTCGCGGCTGTCGAGCTCGAATTGCGGCACCGTCTGTTCTGGAGCATCTTTGTACTGGATCGCATGATGGCAGTGTCCATGGGCCTGCCCGTCGCTCTCATTGACGACAACATGGACGTGCCTCTGCCCGGCTTGACTATTGAAGAGTTCGCTTCACCAGAACGGCAGCAGTTCGCATCCACGCTCCAGACAAACCGCCACGTCATTCAGTTGCGGCAGCTCGAAGGCCGGATTCTCACCCTCATTCACCACCGGAGGCGGTCGGACATAGCCTCCTTGTCCCAGGCCGACCGCCGAGCCATCCTGCATGATCTCAGAACTGATATCGAGGCCTGGTACAGCAGTGGCTCCCTGGTATCGCCCATGGAAGCCGACAATATTCCCATTCATAATTCGATCACCTGGCTCAGCGCCCGCTACTATCACCTCCTGATCTTGCTGCACTATCCCTGCCATTTCAACTCCTTCGCTTCCAGTGTCTCGGCGACAGAGCTGCTGAGGTTTGCCCAAAAGCACCTGCAGTCAACGTCTGCCCTCCTTCAACAGCGCCAGCTTCCCTTCAATCGGATCACGCTGTGTCGCATATTCCCCGTGGGTCTCGTGCTGATACACGGATTCATTGCTTGTGAGGCAGAGGGGTCGCCTTTCCCCGCCAGAGACGAGGTCGCCGTCGTTGTCAGCATCCTCGAAGCGTTTCCGAGTGGCTGGGTCAACGCCCACAAAGCTGCCAACATCTTTCGCCAGTTCATGACCTTGACGACCAGCCCACCGAGCTACGGACCCATGCACTTTCAGACAACGATGCTCGGCAACGGGCCTCTCGATGCCGCGAGGGAGTCGACGCAGGCCATGCTGCGACCGATACTGACCAACCTCCTCGGCCTCATGCAAGAGGTCCTGGGCAAGGCGACTTGCTATGCCTTCCACGAGATGCCCGATAGTCGGGGCGGCTTCGCGGGGTTCAGCGGCCCTTTATCTTCATTTTCCCCACCCGGACCCTCGCGAAGCCTCGGTGGTTCCATGTCGGGTCTCACGCCTGGGGCCGAAGGAGCCATGGATTACAACTGGAGTTCTCTCGAAATGGGCTTTCTCTGAACGAGACCGTGTGAGTGATCGGAACACGAGGTTCGCCTAACTTGGTGGGCTGCTCTGTCTTCGGCTGCTTTCGCAAACAGCGCACAGATGCCAGGCTTGATCCAATCTGGCGAAACAACAACAATTGATACCGAAAATAGACATGACTGAGCATCAGATCTGATGCTCACGCCATCCGGTACGGTAATGCCACGCCCGCCTGATGGGTAATGCGAACTCTGCCGGTGAGTCACGAGACGATGGCGCCCGAATTCCCCAGTATTCATTCGGCTCCGGTGGCTTCGGCCTCCGTCTGGTAGCTTCCGCCCCGTTTGACTTGATTGACCATCTGGAGAGATCTCAGATGCGCATCGTCACTGTGCCTTGGCTGCCCGATGCAGCAACAGTTTGGAACACCCTGCGTCACAGGCTAGTGGGAGCCCCAACCCACGCACCCCGAAGGGAAACACAATTCCCGGACTTTGGGGGCCGGGGCAGATGCTACGCCTGGACCGCCGCCTGTCGTCTGCTCCACTTGGCTCTCGGAGGCGACAAACGGGCCGCTGTGAATCGTCACTACCGCGATTCTGGTACGTAATGACAGGCAGTCAAGCCCGGCGTGCGTCTTGGCTTCTCGAATAGGTCAATAGACGACAACATGTGGGGCCACGACTGCCTTACAGTTCTTTGCCTCAGTCTAATTCGACTGACGGAATGGCAATCTTTGGAAAATAAGCCTCTTGGAGCAGCGTCTTGGGCAGTAGAGCATCGACTTCGCAATGGTGGCTCCACGCCTTGAATCTTTGTGGCGGCCAAAGGTGCTTATATTAATAGCCTTTGGTCCACGTCCTCTTCCACCATGCTTGGTTATCCTTCATTGAACATCAAGCGCATTCATTGACTGCCCTACCTCAACATCACAGCTTCAAACGACATCTCGCCTACTCGGCGGCCGCCCATCATGTCGGAAAAGCAGGCGCACCAAGCCACAGAAGGCCATGTTTCTGGCCAGGCAAACGAACCCATGACGGCGCCGGCGCATGCTCTGTCTGCCGCACAGGTTGTGGAAGAACTCCAGACAGACCCCACCGCCGGCTTGACTATCGAGGAAGCTTCTCTGCGCCTTTCAAAATATGGCGTCAACGACTTTGAGAAGGAAAAGGGTGTTCGTCCACTCCAGATATTTATCGCCCAGATTGTCAACTCCATGGTCATGGTACGTATTCCCAGTCACCAACTGCCAATATGTTTCAAATGCTCATCTGCCGCAGGTTCTTCTTCTCGCTCTCGCAGCCAGTTTTGCTATTCAAGCTTGGATCGAAGGCGGTGTACTTGCCGCCCTGATTCTTATCAACGTTGTCATTGGTTTCTTTCAGGACTTGCAGGCCGCCAGAACCATCGCGTCATTGCAATCTCTCAACTCGCCAACGGCCAACGTCATCCGGGGCGGAGCAAGCACCACGGTGGAGAAGGCGACTCTCGTTCCCGGCGATATCATTGAACTGAAGACGGGCGACATGGTCCCCGCTGACGTTCGCCTCATTGACACCGTCAACCTCGAAGCCGACGAGGCACTCCTTACTGGCGAATCCGTTCCCGCGCGCAAAGATCCCAAGGCCACCTTCGACGGCGAAGACACCGGACCCGGCGATCGCCTGAACGTCGCCTTCAGCTCGACTACCATTACACAAAGGCCGCGGACGTGCTGTCGTGTTCGCTACCGGCATGTCGACCGAGATTGGAGCCATTGCCGCTGCTCTCCACGACCAGGGCGGCGGCAAGCGCAAACCCAAGAAGGACGCCGATGGCAACGTTAGCCTTGCCGCCCATGTCATGTACGCCTTTGGCTGCCTCTGGGACTGGTGCGGCGCTTTCCTCGGCTTGACTGTCGGCACACCCCTGCAGCGCAAGCTTTCCCGCCTATTTCTGTACATTTTCATGTTCGCCATCGTCTGCGCCCTCATCGTTCTTGGGGCCAACGGCATGGAGGGGCGACGCGATGTCATTATATATGCTGTCGCGACAGCCATTGGCACACTTCCCGTCACACTCATCCTCGTCCTCACCATCACCATGGCTGCGGGAACCAAGGTCATGGTGGAGCGGAACGTTCTTGTGCGCAACATGCGCTCCCTGGAAGCTCTGGGTGGCGTCACCAGTAAGTTGCCCCCTCCCCTAGCGCTGACCATGGATAACGTGACTAACGTAAACAGATATTTGTTCTGATAAGACTGGCACTTTGACTCAGGGCAAGATGGTCGTCAGAATGGCGTGGCTTCCCAGCCTTGGTACCTACTCTGTGGGCATGAGCAACGAACCGTACAACCCCGAGGTCGGCGGCGTAAGCTTCACGGTCGCTGAGCCCAAGGACATTCCCGCCGAAGATACCGAGAGTGCAAAAGTCATGCCCGTCGATGAGGCCGCTGCCCACTCGGCCCTTCGCCACTACCTCGATGTCGCCTCGCTTGCCAACCTTGCCACCGTCCAAAAGGTCGACTCTGAAGATGCGCCCGGCACGCAAGTGTGGAAAGCATCCGGTGACCCCACGGAGATTGCGATCCAAGTCCTTGCCACGCGCTTCGGACGCACAAGCCCGCTGTTGGCCAGCTCCTCGGAGTGGAAGCAGCTTGCTGAGTTCCCCTTTGATTCTGCCATCAAGAAAATGTCTGTTCTCTTCCAAAATGAGGTCACTGGGGTGGTCCACGCGTTCACCAAAGGCGCTGTCGAGCGCGTTATCGACAGCTGCACTTCCCTCTCTGCCACGAGCGACGGCACGACTCCCATGACGCCTACCATCAAGGCTGACATCCTGGCCAACATGGAGGCGCTTGCACGCCGCGGCCTGCGTGTCCTCGCATTGGCCAGCAAGTTCCCGGTCCGCGCTGTCACCGAAAAGGAGGCTTCGTCAGGCAATCTGAAGCGTGACGAGTTTGAAGACGACCTTATTTTCCGTGGTCTTGTCGGAATCTACGATCCCCCTCGTCCGGAATCCCGACCCAGCGTCTTCAAGTGCCACCAGGCTGGTATTGGCGTCCACATGCTGACTGGCGACCACCCCGAGACTGCACGTGCCATCGCCGGTGAAGTCGGTATCCTTCCGTCGCGGATGCATCTTCTGCGGAGGGACATTGCTGAGGGCATGGTTATGACAGCACACGACTTTGACCAGTTAACGGACGAACAAGTCGATCAACTGCCCGAGCTGCCACTCGTCGTCGCGCGATGCGCGCCGTCTACCAAGGTTAGGATGATCGATGCTCTTCATCGCCGCGGCCGCTACGTTGCCATGACGGGCGACGGCGTCAACGACAGCCCCAGTCTGCACCGTGCAGATGTGGGCATCGCCATGGGAGAAGGTGGCTCCGACGTCGCCAAGTCTGCCTCCGACATTGTTCTCAGCGACGACAACTTTGCAAGCATCCTCAACGCCGTAGAAGAGGGACGCCGGATCTTCGATAACGTCCAGAAGTTCATGTTGCACGTTCTGGCCGCCAACGTCGGCTTCGTCACGACCCTGCTCATCGGTCTCGCCTACAAGGATCAGGACGGTGTCTCCATCTTCCAGCTGACGCCCGTTGAGATCCTGTTCATGCTCCTCGTCGCTGGTGCTTTTACTGAGACTGGCCTGGGCTTCGAGTCGGCCTCTCCCGACATTCTCAACCGCCCGCCGCAGAGTGTAAGTCGATTCTTTTACGTGTCTCCTGACCTTGCTGACTCAATGGCCAGCTCAAATACGGTGTCTTCACGCCCGAGTTCCTCGCTGACATTGCTGCCTATGGCGTGCTCATGGCCATCTGCATCCTCAGCTCCTTTGTCATTGTCATCTTTGGCTTCTACGGCGGTAACCTCGGACGCGACTGCAACCTCGAGTGGTCCGAGCAGTGCAATGATGTTTTCCGTGCCCGCTCGACCTGCTACACGGCCATGATGTGGATCTTCCTCTTCTTCGCCTGGGAGCTCGTCGACTCGCGCCGCTCCTTCTTCGACGGCATGGTCAGCGACACGCGCCGCTGGGCGCAGCGCCTATGGCGCAACAAGTTCCTCTTCTGGTCCGTCGTTCTCGGCACCATTAGCGTGTTCCCGACGCTGTACATTCCCGTCATCGACCACGTCGTCTTTCTGCACGACGGCATCGACAAGGAGTGGGGCATCGCCATCGCCATGACGGCTCTGTTCTTCGCGGGCGCCGAGGCGTGGAAGTGGGCCAAGAGGGTGTACCTCCGCAGGCACAACCTCATGGTCCGCAAGGACGCGGGGGCCACGGAGGAGGACCTCGAGGCGAGGGTGTTTGAGAGGTTCTACCAGGGGCAGAGCGACGGGAGCTTCAGCGAGAAGTAGCTCGTTGGATGGCTCGCCAGGTGACGATTAGTGTGCATGGTTTCGTTAGCATCGCATAGTTCCGGCGTTGGGCAGCGCTCCCCTCTTCGCGGGGGTTGAGCAATCTTTTTTTAGATCAAGTAGACTGGGTGGGCTAGAATGCTTCCCTTGGAATAAAACCACTTTCCTTGTTGAAGCGAAAAATATGAATGCGAATTGCGCCCCGCCTCACCATGCCGTACCCGGGGTATCAAATATCGTAGTCGCAGACCAGGCTTAGATCCAGTACCGCGCCCACACGCCATGCTCCTCCCTCGTCCCACGGAACCTGAACTCCAGCTCCGTCACGTCCTGGAAGCCCTCCTTGGCTTTGGGCTCGCGGAAGCGCGACTTGAAGCCGTTGAAGGCGAGCTGCGGCAGCGCCGTCCTGGCTTCGGGGTTCATCTAGCATCGTCAGCAGGCCAGTCGCGGAGGGTCTTAAGCACAGGGATTTTCGAGCACGAGAGTCTTTAAGCACAAGGACTTCGAGCACAGGGATTTCGAGCACGAGGAGAAATGTGGCCGAGCCAGAGTCCAGGGCTTACCGTTGTGTTGAGCGCCCTGACGACATCGTTGTGCTCGCAGACGAAGAGGGGCGTCTTGAACCACACGCAGCGCACGGGGACGTCGTGCTGCTTGGCGAGATTGACCCACACGGCGCGCGTGTCGGGGTCGGCGTTTGTATTGTCTGGAGAAGCACGCTGTCAGCCACGCATTTGATTTTTCATCCCTGG